GGGACTGTATTTCTGTTATGTGTTGTATTACCTTATCCAGTACTGTAGCAGTGTTTGGGGCTCGCTGGGACCCACCTCTAAATCCCTCTTTTGGGGTAGACAGGTGGGGACCCAGTGGGGGGGCTGCCAATGGGGCCTGCACGAGCCTTCTTGGATTGGTGACCATGGGTTTGCCCTTGCCGCAGTGGAATCGAGCTGCCAGGCAGCGGGTCTCTCTGTTAAGAGTACAGGGATGAGTCCCCATATCAAATTATAAATATAGCAGGCCTGTTACATGTTATTTTGTGTTAGATGACTTTGGGCTCTCTGCCCTTTATCTCTGCTTTAATACTGGGCTGTGGCAGCCCTCCAGGGGGGTGGCGATAGTGCCCTTCCTTACTCTGCCTATTGCTCCACTGATCGTTTTTCAGTAGACGGGTCTGTGTGGATTTTTGGGTACCTTGGGGAGCATTTCCTTGAGCTCTCTTGCTTACCATTTCCCCATTTAGGTCCCTTCTGCACTGTAGGCGTTGGAGGTAGTTTTGTTTTAGTACTGATCTGTTTTTCTTTTGTCGTCTCCTTTTCATTATTCTTTTTTCTGTGTACTTTGTCCCTTACCTCTTCTTCCCTTTCTCTATTTATTCTCCTCCCTTCTTTTTTCTTTTCTTTCTGTGCTCTCTCCCCAGCAGCGTGGGGGCATCGGGAGAGCAATGATTGCAAAATTTCTGTCGTGGAATGTGAAAGGTCTGATCGTGCCAGAAATGCAGTCATGTATACTTGGAGACCTGTACAGGTGGTGTTCCTGCAGGAGACTCACTTCTGCTCAGACGGTATCCTGAAACTCTTTAATGCCAGATTCCCATATGTGTATCACAGTATGTCCCACGACGCTAAGGCTCGAGGGGTCAGTATCCTGGTGGTCAGAAACACCGGTTGGCAACATCTTTCCACCTTTATAGACGGGAATGGTCTTTTTCTGTTCCTAAAGGGGCGCCTCTTTGGTGCCTTGGTGATGTTTGTGAACATCTATGCCTCCAACGCTGACCAAATTTCTTTCCTGGAGGATTGTATGCTCACCTTGGCTGATTTTGCAGAGGGCATAGTGGTGGTAGGTGGGGATTTCAATGTGGGGCTTGATCCGCAGTTGAACGTCTCCAAAGGGGCGTCTCATATTTCTTATTCCTTCCTACGACGCTTTTGAAAAACCTTCCTGGCGGACGATTTGATTGATGTTTGGCGTCTTATGCATGCCAGAGACCGGGATTATACATTTTACTTACGCATAGACTATTTCCTAGTCCAGCAATGTGATTTTCACAAAGTACGTTCCAGTATTGATGTCATCTGGATATCTGACTAGGCAAAGATTCTGTTGGAAATGTTAATACACAAGGAGTAGACTCGGCCTTGGCATTGGTTTCTCAATGATACCCTGCTTGATGATCTCCTAGTGATGAGGGACCGTGTTCAACAGGAACTTTCCCACTTTTTTAGTCAGCACCATCAGACTCTCCTCTGTTTGCGGTGTGGGAGGTCCATAAGTGTTTCATCCGCGGAGTCCTTATTTTCAGGTGTCCTATGCCAAGAAGGCTTGGACTGAAACTGTTTCCAATCTGCTTGACCAGATTAGGCGTTTGGAAATGCAACATAAGCAATCTCTAGCTATGACGTTTGAGGCGGAACTGTCGACTCTGGGTCATCGTCTAAATGATCTCCTGCTTTGGAAAATCATACTGCCCCAGACGTGAATTAAGCGGTCTTATTATGAATACGGTAATAAACCTAGTAGATCCCTCGCACTGGCCCTTAGAGATGTGAGAGCTCAGTCCTTTGTTCCACAGGTCGCGAGATGGTAGACTTTTGGCCTGCTCCAAAGCTATTGGTAGCCTTTTTTGGGATTTTTATCCAGAACTGTATAACATAGACCCCCAGCTGCCCTAGGGGGTGGAAATTGGAAGGAATTCAAGCTTACTGGGCTCACTCTACACTTACCCGTCTTTCGCAGGAAGAGGCTGATGCTTTAGAATCTCCCATTACACCCTTGGAGTGGGTCGACACTACTGAAAGAAATGAAGACACGCAAGGCTCCAGGCCCTGGCGGGTTTTCACTCCTTTGCTTTACCACCTTTTGGGGCGCTTTGCAATCGCCCGTCTTTTCTGCCTATAATGCTTTGCTTTCTGGACAGACCTCTCCTGTAGATTCTCTTCATGCTTCCATTACCGTCATCCCGAAAGAGGGGAAAGACCCTACACTTTGTTCGAGCTACTGTCCAATCTCGCTATTAAACATTGACTTGAAGTTGTTTTAGAAGATTCTGGCAAATCGCATCCTTCCAGTCATGTACAAGCTTATTCACCCCGATCAGGTGGGCTTTGTGCCACGTAGTGAGGCGAAGGACAATACCACCAGAGTCCTAAAGCGATTCACTTAGCCTCGCTTACACATATCCCCGCCATCCTGCTATCTACCGACGCGGAGAAAGCATTCGATCGAGTGAACTGGTCATTTCTACAGGCCGCACTGTGGGAGGTCGGCTTGGGTGACAATATGTGTACATGGATTGCAGCTATTTACTCTGTGCCTACGGCCAGGGTGAGAGTCAATGGGACTTTTTCTGACTACTTTTCCTTATCCAATGGCACAAGGCAGGATGCCCATTGTCTCCCTTGTTGCTTATCTTGTCACTCGAACCCTTGCTCTGTTGGATTAGGGCGAACCCTGATATTTCGGGACTACTGGATGGTCCTCTTTCGCATAAAATTAAGGGCTATGCTGACGACCTGGTGTTCCAGCCCTCTCTTACATTCCTGATTTTGATGTGGGACTATGGTGTCTATGGTGAGTTGTCTAAATTTAAAATTAATTTGTAAAAATCTGAGGCTCTCAACCTAACAGTTTCGCCTACACACTTAGCGCCTCTGCAAGCGGCTTTTCCTTTCCATTGGTCGTCGACCCACATTACGTACTTAGGGACCAAGATTACTCCATCTGTTGATAAGATCTTTGGGGCCAATTTTCCTCCATTCCTGTCAGCGATTCCTCAGGATTTTGCAAAATGGTCGAAGGGTACAATCCCTTGGTTCGGGAGAAATTACCGTTGATCGCTTCTTATTCATTTGGTGGATGCTGTCAGGGCATGCATTGTTGTTTTCTGAAAAAACAGCTTCAGAAGGTTGACAAGATCCACGTCATGGAAGAATTGACTGCAGCTCTGCACCACATGGAGGGAACATTTCATAAAACCTGGTTCTACTGGTTTGATTTTCCTTACTCTCAGGAATTTGGTTCCTTGATGACAGCATAACTACCCACTTCCGCTTGTTTGCTCGACCACAGCGTTCTCACTCTGTGGACAGGGTAGTTTAAGATGGACTTTAAGGGGTGCATTTATAAGCAGTTAGCACAGCGAACAGCTCTGTGAACGAGATTTGCAGCATGTTATGGCTGCTACATGGAGCTGAGGAGCATAGAAACACACAAAGGCAGAAATAAAAGTGGGCTTAACCAGCATCTGCAGTAATCATACTAATAACCCCTTTAGGATCCCTCAATTTTTTTAGTCCAGTGCTTACTTTGTTCAACAGTACCAAGCCCAAGTACCAAGTGGAAGTCACCTGAGCCCCCATCACTCAGCTTTTGGTTAACCAGGTGCTCCTGCTCTATAAGTTAACTTATGGAGCCTGTGCCCACTAAAATTTGATAAGGTCTGGTCCCGCTGGCTGGAAGCAATAGACACATTCTCTGAGGAACACAATGGGCCACCATACATAGTTCTCTTGTTGTATTACAATTTATTTTATTGTCTACAAGGATTTAGGTTGATTCTGGTCATTAGCATGTAAGGAAGAGTACTGTAATGAATAACGGACGGTGTGCCTTATATGAGGTTAATTGTTTGATGAAAGTAATATAAGCTTTTGAACATGCATAACATTCTTGAGAATATGGTTCCATATTGAATGTAGAGTATTTCCAGATCATATAATTGGTCTTAAGTTGCAGGCGAGCAGTTGAGGGACTGTAATGTAATCTTGACATATCTGTCCTACTGGAATAGTGAGGAAGTGCTACATGATACTCTTTATACTCAAAAGCTGTCTTGTAAAGTCTTCTTCGCAGTGGGTCACTTGGGATTTTGATATGATCCATGACTGAATAGAACAGGGGATGTTGTCAGCTGTGTCATTACATACATTATATGAACAATGCTTTTGCTTGAAATATATGTGTGACCTACTATCAATATCTTGGGTAACACTACTTGTAGATTACTATATGTAATTGTCCGTGACCTATTTTTTTGTGTGTAAAACAGTCTATGTAATCTTTGGCGTCTGCTCTGTATCTACAAATGCTTCTTTGTAACCTAATAGACTGAGTTGTATTTTTCAATGTCAAAACAATAAAATTAAAATTCAATAAAATAAGAGTTTCAAGCCCTGATGGAGGGGGACCTTTGTAAACCGCACCATGTTGGCTTTTTATGAATTCCAGGTTGTAAAAAAATTAACCCTCCAAACTGCTAGGGTTAACTGCTCCTTTTTCTCTAGAGGTCCAAATACAGAAGAAATACTCACCCGATCCTGGATCCTACAAGAGTGACCCCTCACCTCTCTCTCTCCCTCTGCTCTGTGTATGTCCCTCGGTGTCCTCATGTCTAATACAGATGAATGGACTGTATTAGACGTGATGATGTCAGAAGGACTTAGACTGCTGGAGCCCGGGGGAGAAGAGGCAGCGGAGACCAGGCGGGATTGAGAGTCTTTCTTTGAGCCCCTAGAGAAAAGCAAGCAGTCAATCCTTGCAGTGCTGGTGTAGCCCCACTGCAAGGGTTAATTTTTCTACAACCTGGAGTTCTTCCTCAAATCTAGACTTTATACATTCTGTTTTTGTTGCTTCCTCCTTGCACACCCAGTTCCACCTTGAGCAAACAGCTGACCTTTGCCCACCACTCCTGGGAGAGCTACTTAAAGTGACATTAAACCCTCAGATTTTTTAACATAAATCAATACTATTTTGTACTTTACTTTTTACCAGCACCTACATTTGCTTGGGCTGTGCATTTTGAATTTCTTCATTCTGTCCTTTCTTTCTTTACGTTGTTTTCTAGAACTTTTTTTCCTCTCATTTTTCTTTGCATAGTCCACTGAATTGTAGATCATGCCAAAACCAGTAGTTTTGCCGCCTCCAAAGTGAGTCTTAAAGCCAAATACAAAGATCACATCTGGGGTAGTGTTGTACATTTTGGCCAGCTTCTCCCTGATTCCATGACTAAGGTAGCTCAGAGGTCCCTTTCCCAGTACCCTCATCAACTTCTAACCCCCGTCCCATGTTACCAATGAATACACCACACAACAGCGGGAGTTTAAATGGCCACAGCAGCCTTTTATAATAAATATAATTATAAATAACAATTTAAATAACAACAAGAAACCCATAACCATACTGTATAAACTTGTTGGTTTCAAGGTCCTTGAAGACAATCGGACCCTAAACAGACCAGTATCTGCGGGCACCTTACTTGTAACTGAATGCCCCCAGCCGCCATACACCGCCTCGGGGACATAACTAAATTGCCCGCAGACCCACGTTGGTCCCTATTAACCGGTCATACCCATATGACCGTACAACTGCCGAAGGACACCCACACCACGGATGGGTCCCCCGTCCAGATATAGACTCCTCCTACCTGACTAACTTCCTGAAGGACCCCTTCATCCAATCCCGTAAGTGACCCTTCTATATCCTTTTTCTTTTGCTCCTTAACCCTTTCCTATCCTCGTTCCCTTCACAGCCTTGTCATGCAGGCCTTCGGCTCATTCCTCTGCTATCCATAGCTCCAGGCCTTACTGTCTTGGGGACGGTGGCTTTTCCAGGATAAAGGACACCTATGACCATCTGCTTCCTCAGAAGCAGTCTGTTGTTGGTCATAAACTTCCTTGTTCTAATAGTGACACTGTCGTTCATCTTGCCACCATCTCTCTCAGGGAAGAAGGAAAGCTAGGAGAATAATTCCCTCTAGTCCCAGCATACACTGTCCTTTTATAGCATCCTACCTTACCTCTGTTCGCGCTCTGAAGCCTCCTGTAGGCTCTTCCAGGAGTGTTGGATGCCTATGTCCACTACTCTTCATCGTGGTTGCATTGCTGACTCATACATCACTGCTGAACCTAGTAGTGACCTACACTACTATATGAGACCTGGGCCATCTGAGAGGTGAGGTATATTTGCTCTTCTATTGAATGGGTCTTCTGAGATTTTGTAACCCCTTCGTGACTGACGGCGTACAGTGTACGTCGCCAGCATCGGGGCTGTTTAAACAGACTCCCGGCGGCTTTACAACAGAAGCAATGCTGGCGACTTACCTGTGTCCCGTAGAAGAGGTGCTGTGCTAGTTGACAATAACTCTGTCATGCAACACTATACCTAGGGTTGCAACCTTTTTTTCAAGCGAAACCCGAACACTCTAGCTACGCGCAGACATTTTTTGGTGAGAATAAGTGATAGCTTATTCATATGTACATAGCGCCGCCCATTCATATGTAAATATCACAGTTAAGATTATTTTCAGTGGGGGGCCAATAGCCCCTATCTTAATTTTTGTTGTCCCTGTCTGCTTGACATCTTGTGTCCGGGTTTCTGAGCCATGAAACCGGAACACAGCATTCAAAACCCGGACTGTCCGGGTGAATCCTGGACAGGTGGCAACCCTAACTGTACCTAGATGGTTCTGGCAGAAATAATTGCCGCACAAAACGACTGGCATCACAAGCTGGACATTGAAGTCAAAACATGCTGTAAACACAAACAGGCTCCTCCAACTCCAACATGTTACACCAAACGACTTATTCATAGAGATGAAGAGAGATTACAAAGAACATTTAAAAGGTTCCATTTCCCCATGTCACATATGTAACTAATGAGTAGCCTCCTCTCCTTCTGTCTTATTAACCCCTTCTCTACCAATGCACAAAAATGCATGTAAATGAGCAATCATCCTCTATCTATCCTTCCTTAATCCACACATGTTGATCTCAAGACGGGGGGACAGTATAGGAGAAGGAAGGAAGGATGGAAAAGGGGGAAAGAGACCAAAAGGAGAGGAGGACACATTTTAAAAAAAACTAATGTTATTAAACAAAACCATTAACAGGGATCCCAACCTGAAAGAAGCCATTTCAGGGAGGTGTCGTTCTCATTTCAGGGAGGTGCCCTCTACCCCCCCCCCCCATCCACGGAGGAGGTTAGGGGGGCTGGGAGAGAGCACCCCCCTGAAATGATGGCAGATAGCACAGGAAGCAATAGCTTCTTTGCTATCTGCAGGTTTTTTTTCTGATTTTGTTTTTAGTTGCAGTCGTCAGAATATAAAAAAAAAAAGGCTTACGAATCCATAGCTAGATTCCTATTGGCTATTGCACTTTGCAATAGCCAATAGCAAACTAGCTATTGCACCCGCCCTCTGCTGCTTTCAATCACCAGAAGAGGACCTGATAGAAAAATTCAGGTCCCCCTCTGCTGATTGATCGCAGGGAAAGGTTTATCTGCTCGATCGAGCAGATAAACCTTTCCGGGAGGAAGTGTTTCTCTCCCGGGCGGCCGGGAGTCGCTATCCAATAGCGGGAGACTCCCGGAGCGTCCGGGAGAGTTGGGATGTCTGCATTAAAAATGTAAAAGTGTAAATGTAATTAGCAAATAGATCCATGACTATAAAGTAAACCAGATATACTAAACTCCAAAAATACAAACAGTTAAATTGTAGATGAGTACACATGCTTACTAATAAACAAACCCTCCTGAGATGAAGAACTACACCTGATGGGTAATCACTATTCATAAAAATATGTAACATCCCATTCATAGTTCATACCATCAGGTATACGTGTCTTCAATTCAAAAATCCAAAACACTTTACGTTTTGAAAATAGGGAAATCTCCCCCTCTTGAAGGTGTATATACTGTTTCAATAATCTGAATCCTCATAGATTCTGATATTACTTCAGTAAACTCCCAGTTATCCGGCACCCATGGGGATCAGTAGGTTCTGGATAACTGTAGTTTCTGGTTGCTTGAGAGTTAGCTTTCGCAGCCGACAGGTGAATGTAAGCAGCCGGGAGCAAAAGCCAGACTGCTATTGGCTATTGCAAATTGCAATGTGGATTGTCTGAGATGGCTAGGCCTGAAGCCTGGGGACTAGCTGTGTGATGACCCTGGAGCCTGAGAGCAGCAGGAGAGTGATGAGACCAGGGAGAGTGAGCCAGGATGGTCCACTTTTCTATTCAGGTGCCAAACCTTCAGAATAACAGGGTAATGGTTATAAATAGCAGAATATCTGTCCCAAAACCAGTAGGGTACCTGCGTAATCTTCTGCATTATATAGGCAGATTAACCACTTGCCGTCCGCCCGTTGTAAAAAAACAGACGGACGGCACTGCAGCATTGGCGGGTTGCCGCCCCCAGACGGCATTTTTTTTCTGCTCGCGCGCGCCCCCTAGCGGGCACGCACGGGCAGAAAAGACCCGACCAATGCAAACACCCGTTAAAAAAAAAAAATCGGTAATTTTTCCTTAATATAGTAAAAAAATAAAAACCCCAGTGGTGAATAAATACCACCAAAAGAAAGCTCTATGTGTCCCTAAAATATGGTATAAAATTCATTTCACTACAGCGTTGCATGACGGAATAAATGTCAGTCAAAGTACTGCAGCTCTGAATACTGAAAAATGGCCTGGATGGGAAGGGGGTCTAACACCGCGGATGTCAACTGGTTAAATGTGATCAATTAACCCATTTCTAGGCTAGTCCAGGTCACATGACAGCCCAGGTCTTTCTGACTCGGCTCCCCATCATGTTCCAATTCTGCAGATAATCCTCTGGAACCATGAAGAAGGGAAGACTCGTTGTTCCAGTGCTGCTGGCTGCCCTATGCATGCTGAGCTACCTCTGGTACAGGAGCGTATTTGTGGTAAGAAATTCAGCTACGTAATATTTTACTTTTGATGGTGGGTCTTATTTTTTTTAAATAATCACTTAAAAGGTAAATTAATTTAATACAGTTGAAAATAACTCTAGCCAATATACCTCCTTTTAGTTTTGGATAGATTGGTGATGGTTTAGAAACCTATAGTTTTTTCTGCTGTATGTGTCCGCAGAGGGGAGACTTCCCTTCACATCCTGTTCCAAAGATGCAACAGGAAATGAGGCAACACCAGATCCAGTATTTAGTGCTGTTCCTTCCCTCTGCTGCCACTCTAGCATCGGCAGTAGTGGGACCTCTGTATGTAGAACACCTAAGGAGGCCGGTCACCTGTGAGGACTCTGCAGGCACTGCCAGGCAGCACATCATGCTGTGTGGGACACGCTGAGGACCCTGTCCTGCGCTCCCTCCCGCCCCCTGGCCGCCAAGGAGAAGAAGGAGCTGCAGATGTCAGGAGTTGGGTGAGGCTGGTACTGAGGGGATTCCATGTCTGGGTGGGTGAAGGCTGGTAACAGGGGAAAGTGGGGCTGTAGCTGGTGGTATTCAGCTTTGCTGATTTGCTGTATAATGAGTATAGAGCAATGCAGAATACCACCAGCTATACTGGACTACAAAACCCAGCAATACATTACATTATACACTAGGGATGCACTGATACCAGTATTGGTATCGGTGCCAATACTGGGCATTTTCACGAGTACTCCTACTGATGAAAATGCCCCGATACCGGCACTTTACATTTTAGAATTGAAGCGGCTGTCTGAGGTCCCGCGCTTGCTGGGGACCTTGGCAGCCATCTTGTTAACCATGCGGTGCCTGTTTACAGCGCCGGCCGCACACCTCCTCCTCTTTCCTGGGGAATCCCACCGCCCACAACCACCTGCGAGACCCCCCACAACCCTGGTGAGACCCCGCACAGCCCTGGTGAGACCCTGCACAGCCCTGGTGAGTTCCCGTACAGCCCTCCTCAGATCCTCCACAGTCCACCTGAGACCCTCCACAGCCTTCCTGAGATCGTCCGCAGGAGACATCAGGCTGGCACCCCGGAGCAGCACAGTGTATGTAGCGTCATATTATTCTGCATTGCTGTATAATGTATTGCTGGGATTTGTAGTCCTCTATAGGCGGTTGCTATTAAGCATGGCTGAGATTTGTAGTCCCCTTTAGCCGGTTGCCATTCGGCATTGCTGTATAATGTATCACTGGGATTTGTAGTCCCTCTGCAGCTTGGACCATTTTTCTGCCAACGCCCCTCCTGAGACTAGACGCTGCATCTGCCCCTGGTCCACACTTTGGAATTCAATCATGTTGCAAATCTTTATTGTGCTAAGAAATCCTGCACAGCCCACCTGGGCTCCTTCCGCTGAAGGGTTTCACTCAAAGGAGCTTAATCTGGGAGTAGAGAAATTGAGTGGAAATTTTATTTAAAGTGGAAGGAAATCCTGCCTTGGACTGTTGTCACTGGAATATCCATTGGAAGATTTTTATGCCATAATATAGTGCTGCGCTGAAGCTCCAACCACAGCAACGAACGGAGGAGTCAAAGTAAGGAAGGGTATTTCATTTATAACCCCACAAAGGATCCTCCTGCTGGGCTCCCCGCATGGTTCCGGCCTCCCTCCGCTCCATGTCTGGTACTCGGGCACTCCTCACCCAGCATAATTTTTAGGGCTCCTCATCCACGCCCAGTCTTGCTCTGCTCCCCTTTTGCTTCTTCTGTGAGCAGCGTGTAAGGCAGAGTGCAGAGGTCAGTAGTAACACACATGAAGGGGAATTTATCAAAACCGGTGCAGACGGAATCTGGAGCAATTGCTCATGGCAACTAGCTTCGCTCTTTCATTTTCAAAGCCTAATTGGAAAAAACTGAAGACAGAAACTGATTGGTTGCTATGGACAGCTCCTCCAGATTCGGTGTTACAGCTTTCATAAATCCCCCTATAGTGCAGAGGTCAGTAGTAATGCAGAGTGCTGAGGTCAGTGGTGTAGCGCAGAGTGCAAAAGGTCACCAGTAAGTAACGCAGAGTGCAGGGGCCAGTGGTGTAATGCAGAGTGAGGCAGAGTAAGGAACACAGGGTGTAGAGGTCAGTAGTAATGCAGAATGCAGAGGACAGTGGTGTAACACAGACTGCAGAGGTCAATAGTGTAACGCAGAGTGCAGAGGTCAGTGGTGTAACATAGACTGCAGAGGTCAGTGGTGTAACGCAGAATGCAGAGGTCAGTAGTAATGCAGAGTGCAGAGGTCAGTGGTTTAACACAGAGTGCAGCAGTCAGTGGTGTAATGCAGAGACAGAGGTCAGTAGTAAGTAACGCAGAATGCAGAGGTCAGTAGTAATGCAGAGTGCAGAGGTCAGTGGTTTAACACAGAGTGCAGCAGTCAGTGGTGTAATGCAGAGACAGAGGTCAGTAGTAAGTAATGCAGAGTGCAGAGATCAGTAGTAATGCAGAGTGCAGAAGTCTGTAGTAACACATAGTGCAGAGGGCAGCAGAGTGGCAGAGGTCAATAGCATAATGAAGAGAGCAGAGGTCAGTTGTGTAACGCAAAGTTCAGAGGTCAGTAGTAACATAGAGTGGAGAGGTCAGTGATGTAACACAGAGTGCAGAGGTCAATGGCGTAATGCAGAAAGAACGGGGACTTATAGTGCACACAGAGTGAAGAGGTCAGTAGTGTACGCCAGAGTGTAGAGGTCAGTAGTAATGCAGAGTGCAGAGGTCAAAAGTAATGCAGAGTGCAGAGGTCAGTAGTAATCCACAGTGCGGAGGTCAGTGGTAATGCGGAATGCAGAGGACAGTGGCGTAATGCAGAGTGCAGAGGTCAGTGGTGTAACGCAAAAAGAAGAGGGACTAACAGTGCACACAATTGATCTGATGTTAAAATTCCGCCGCTCTGCCCTCATGCCCACTTCCTCTCTTGCTCTTGGTGGGGGGGCAGCTATCTTGTCTAAGGTGATACAAGGGAGCCCCCTGCAAGACCCACCCACCTGAAATGTCCGGCCAATGGTGGTGCTGTAGTCATCCTCCTAGCCTATAGCAACTAAAGTGGGTGGAGGAAGATGCAGGTGGCCGTGAAGGAGCCACGAACAGTGAACCAGGCAGTCACTAGGCAGCCGAACCAAGCAGGCCAATGCAGCAGCAGTCTTTTTTAAAAGACATCATAGAGGCCCAGGGGGGCAATTGTTCCCTGGCCCAGTCCACCCCTGCTTTGGCCACAGCTAAGTAACACTTACAGAGCTGGCACCCACCCTTCCCAACCTGTGCAGAAGCAGCAGACTGACCTCTTCTCTCCATTTCTTGTAAGCACATGAGCCATAAAGCTTAACCTAGCAGGTTATTTTTACAATGAAGGAGAAATCCACTTAAACATGGGAATAATGTGCAAACTCCATGCAGACCGTATTCCAGGCAGTGTTATATCTCAAACCCCAGCATACAAGGTCACAGTGCTAGCCACTAAGCCACAATACTACCCAATGGTGGTTTGCAAAGAAAGATCCAATTAACAAAACACACAAAGCTCTTAAGATAATATTTCAAAAAGGAATTTGACTGGTTTACATCAGAACAAATATGTTATGTATGTTTTATTTTTAATTTACAGAATTCCCTTAGGAATGCTTTTCAGAACTGCTATTGGTCAAACAAGAATGAAAACACTCTGAACCTAACGACCCAACCCCCAAAGAAAACAGACCTCCAAATGAAAATAGACGCCATGTTTGACAGGATTGAAAAACTCATCCCCATCGCTCCATTCACACATTTTAATAGAACCACAAGTGGAAAACATAGCAAAGCATTTATAGCCAATCCAAAGGAACAATACTGTGTTGGAGAAGAATTGGTGGTACAGATTGATATGTTTGATCACTTGGGCAACAGGAAGAGGCACGGGGGGGACTTCATAAGAGCCAGGCTCTTCTCTTCAGGACTTGGAGCTTCTGTGTCCGGACAACTAGAGGACCTGAATAATGGATCATACCATGTTCGCTTTCATTTATATTGGGCAGGTGATGCCAAAGTCTCCATTTGGTTGTTCCACCCAAGTGAAGGGGTTGCAGCTCTCTGGAGGGCAAGGCATGCCAGTCAAGGGGTTCTTGGGTTTGAGGGAAAGTTTGAAATGTTGGGTAAAAATGCTATGACTAAGTGTGCTTTTAAGCTGTATGAAGAAGAGGGGAAGGAGATCTGTGAGTACCTAGACCCCTTATATGAAGAGGCCTTCTACTGCTTCAAAGCTCCTAACTTCCCTTGCGAAAGTCTGAATGAAATGAGAGGCTACGATCTTCAAATACCACATATCACTCCTGATGAAAGTAAACTATTTGAAAGGTACTGTTTCCATCAACACTACATACAGTGCCTTCCAAAGGTACCCTAAGTTCTCTGCAAAAGGTATTTGTTTGTTAATATGGTTTGGGCATGTTGAAAAGATGCCATATGAATGGCTTCTTTTGATGCTGCTCAAGATGTATGTGCCAGGGTGGAATTCCGGAGGAGGCTGGAGGAATTATGTGCACTAGACATGTTCGATTAGTTTAGTTGCGAAAAGGAAATTCGGACGGAATCTCGGACATTCGGATGCATCCGAATTACAGATATAACGAATGGAAAGGAATCCGAATTTCCGATTCCGAAATTCGTTAGCGGTAGTCTGGATGAAATTTCGTTTATTGGACGAAATTTCGTTGCAGAAAAATGACATTAGAAAAAAAATGTTTTCTTTTTTTTTACAGTCTGCAGAAGAGGAAAAAAAAAAAAGCGTGAGGTTCCCCCCTCAATTCATACCAGACCCTTTAGGTCTGATAAGAATGTTAGGAGGGACCCCCCCCCAAGTTAAAGTTAACAAAAAGTGTGTGGGGTTCCCCCCCAAATCCTTACCAGGCCCTTTAGGTCTGGCAGGAATTTAAGAGGGAACCCCAGCCCCAAAAAATGGGGAAAAAAACCATGGGGTCCCCCCTAACAGTCCTACCAGGCCCTTGATCCGAGCACTGGCCTGGCAGGGCAGGAAAGGGGGGGGGGACAATCGAGTGCCCCGCCTCCCTGCGCCTTACTAGGCCACGTGCTGTCGGCATTGGGAGGGTGTCCCCATGCCGATGGGGACAAGGGCCTCTTCCCCACAACCCTGACCCGGTCTGCGGGCAAGGGGGCTTATTTGCATCGGGGTACCCCTTTAATTAAGGGGGCACCCAGATGACACTCCCCGTGAATGAGTAAGGGGTACTTGCACCCCTACCCATTCACTAAAGGGTTAAATAAAAGCGTTATTAAAAAGTCCAGACTTTTGATAAAATCCTTTAATTGAAAAAAAAAAACAAAGAGCCAAACTTTGACTGTTCCTTTAATTTAAAAAAAATGGCTACATCTATGTAATCCAGCGTCAATCACGATGCACGACCCCCGCCAACCC